ATTTGAACCAAGGAGTTTGAACAACTCGATCCAAAATATGCCAGTAAATCAAGGATCCAGATCACTGACGATGTCCTTAGGCAGTCCCCAGTATTTGACAATATGTTTGAAGAAGAGTTGAGTTGTCTCTTCCGCTGATATATACTTGGGTGCTCCGATGAAAGTCCCGTACTTTGATAGATGGTCTACTACGATGATGATAGTGCCAAAATCTCCAACTTTTGGCAATCCAGTAATGTATTCCATCGATACACTCTCGAATGGTCTCGTTGGGATGGAAAGAGACTCCAACAAGCCTGCCTTTTTTTTGATGATCAGCCTTATCTTGCTGACAGAAAAGACAAGTTTTCACATAAGTTGCAATATTGTCTCACATTTGAGACCAGTAGTATGCACGTTGTAGTAATGCAGAAGTGTGTTCATCTCCGAGATGCCTTGCCCAAATTGTGTCGCGGCATTCTGTGATTAGTGATTTCCTCAAATCTCCGCCCTTCAGGACCTATAGGCAGCTCCATTAGTCTTCACTAGACCCCCATCGAGCCAAAACTGTCGAGTTTTTCCCTGCTTCATGAGGTCGACCAAATATTGAGTAGTCGGGTCCTTATCCAAAAGTGCCCGAATTTGATCCCTTGTGTTTGTGGTGACCGCGCTCCCTGAAAGAGCAACCATAGAATAAATGGTGGCTAGTCGCCTGGCGACTAAGAGCATCGACAACATGATTACTAGATTCGGGACGGTACTCTAGCATGAAATTGAACTTTGAAAGAAGTTCCTGCCAATGAGCTTGTTTGCGTGATAGTTTCGTTTGTGAAGTGACTCACCGTAGTGTTATCTATCTTCACAATAAATGGAGACCCAAACAAATAGTGAAGCCATCCCCTAAGGCAATGGACTACCCCCAACAACTTATTTTCGTGCGCCGAGTAACGACGTTCTGCTTAATTCAGCTTTCGGCTCTCATAAGCTACCGGATGTCCTTCTTGCATAAAGATTCCACCAAGTGCAAAGTCTAAAGTATTAGTATAAACTGCAAATGGTTTAGCCATATCCGACAAGGCTAACACCGGGTTTGTCCACATAGACTTTTTCAACTTCTCGAAAGCATTATGGCATTGGGATGACCAGTCACAATCCTTATCCTTTTTCCTCAATTCGGTAAGTGGCAATGCAATTTCTGAGTACCATTTTACAAATCTTCTGTAGTAATTGCATAACCCGAGAAATGAACGCACATCATGGACATTCTTTGGTGGTTGTCAATCTTTGATGGCTGCAACTTTCTTCGCATCCATGCGTATTCTGCCTAATTCGATGATGTGACCCAAGAAACTGGTAGACATTTGAGCAAATGAGCATTTAGACTGTTTGGCGTAGAGTTCATTCTCTCGTAGCCAATTGAGAACATGCCTAACATATTGCTCATGTTCCTCCAATGACTGGCTATAGATGACTATGTCGTCTAGGTACACCACCAATAAATCGTCCAAGAATTGGTGAAGTACCTGATTCATCATCGTACAAAATGTTTCTGGAGCATTTGTGAAGCCAAAAGGCATCACCTTAAATTCAAAAGCTCCACATCTGGTTACCACCGTAGTTTTTTCTTCATCTCCCTCTTTACCCTCTTTACCACCTAGTTCTTGCTAGTATCCGGACCTGAGATTGATCTTCGTATAATATTTCACCCGGCTCAGTCGGTCGAAGCAATCCGTGACCAGTGGAATAGGGTAGCTATTCTTTACAATGATCTTATTCAAGGCTCAATAGTCACAGCACATTCTAAGAGAACCATCGGCCTTTTCTGAAATAAAATGGGAGCTCCATATAGTGATTTCGTAGGCACGATAATCCCACTTTCCAACATTTCTCCCACTGAAACATACGGTAGGGTGCCCTAGCAGGAGGTTTGGCACCCGAAATAAGTTCAATCTCATGATTAATCGCCCTCTTCTGTGGTAATTTCTTTAGTAACTCATTCAACATGATGTCCTCAAATTCCTAGACAAGCCTTCGGACAAGCTTTGGAATAAGACCAATTGCCTCCTCGATCTCCTCTAATCGAAGAGTGCACACAAATGAGGGTTCATTTATTTTGAAACCCTTACCAAATTGCATGGCTGAGATACTCTTCTCGCCCATCTTCCCCGATTGGGTAGTGATGATGCACGATTTACTACCCATCATCAATGAATCGAAATATGGCAACACTGTTGTCTTAGTGTCCCGAAGAAATTACAATCCCAAAATATGCTTGAAGTCATCCATCTGAACTTCCGACAAATTTGTCCTTCCTTCGAAAGGACCGGTTTGACTAACACATATTTTGCTATTCCCCATATTGGTTGAGTAGCAGAGTTGATAGCTTTGACCTTCCCATTACCTTTTTCCAGAACAAGTTCGAGCCGCTCTAGTTCGATACCTGCAAGGTAGTTGTGGGTAGCACCGGTATCTATCATAGTTCTAATTGGTTTTCCATTGATCTTTACATCAATGTACATTAAGCCTTTCGCCCTACAAATACGAGCATTCGATTCTTCCATCGTTACCTCTTTCGAGGGAACATTCTCCTTTTTAATACCCCAGTGCGATAGTGTATTGTACCGATGTGAGAATGCACCAACTACATCCTCATCCTCCTCAGAATCGGTCTCGCCATGACAGCTCTTGGGAGATATCTTGCTTTGAATTCATTCCACCGCTCGCTAGTTGATAGTATGCATTCACCATCCGTTTCTGAGGACACTCAGCCACCTGATGGGGTCCTTTACATAAAAGAAAAAAGCTAATTGTACAAAAAAAGGTTAACAAAAAAGTTGACAAACCCTCACATGATTGTCGGCCCCACGTGAATAAAAAATTGAAAATAAAAAGTGGGCCCTCCCACATTGTGAGGGTTTGTCAACTTTTTTGTGAAACTTTTTTTGTACAAGTAGAAGGGTTGTACATAAAAAGCACATAATTTAGGAGTGGCATCAAATCTGCCCTCCGTTGCTTTTCCTTTACTCCAGTTGCCACTACTGTTGTCGTTATAGTTTCCTTGACGGCTGTTTTGATAGTTCCCTTGAAAGTTACTCTAATGGGTGCCTTGATAGGCTCCTCCCTTATTATGAGAGTAACGCCCTTCCCCATTTGAGTTCGAGCTGGGTCTGTAAGGTCTGTTTCCACCTCCAATAGCTTGACTATTCCCTGAAGGTTGATCTTTTCTCGACTCAGGTTGATAGTCACTTAAACATTCAACGGCTCCCATGGCCGCGCTCAAGTCAGTAATCTTCTGTCTCTGAAACACCTTGTGTGTCCATGGTTTCAACCCTTCCATGAAGGTGAATAGCTTATCCTTTTCCAACATGTCTCGAATATTCAGCATATGCCCTAAAAAGGCTTTCACATATTTCCTGATAGAGCTTGTATGTTTTAGTTCTCGTAATGCACGTCGTTCCTGATATTCTACATTTTCTGAGAAAAATTGAGATCTAATCGTTTCCTTGAGGAGATCCCAAAAATCTATTCGGACCATGTTAGCCTGAATATCAGTATAATTTGTCTGCCACCATAGTTTTGCATCTCCACCAAGATACATGGTAGCTGTTGTCACCTTTCTTGCTTCATCTTTCATTGAAGCCGCAAGAAAGTATTGTTCCATATCAAACAAGAAGTTCTCGACTTCTTTTGCATTGTGTGCCCCNTAGCAACAGCTTTAGTCATTGCTGTGCAGGCCCTTCGGCTTTCATCCAGTTGGATGTGTAATTCCCGAATTTTCGTCTCTGCCACCTCGACTTTTTCCTCGAGGCCCTCTACGGCATAGCACAACCTAGTAGTTGTTATTTCAAGAGTATCCACGCGCTGTTTCGTGTTCTTCTTCTGAGGATCTACCACATCTGTGGTGTTCGATTCAATTGGATCCATTACTTTCTAATCGAGAGTTTTAAGCCACAGCTCTGATACCAACTTTCAAGGGGTGCCTTTCTTCTTGGCATAGAAAGGGACACCGTACGGTAGTAGTCTGCTCTACTAAACTACCTTCTACCTTCTCTCGGTCGTTTCGAAATGCAAGACAATTGATTACAATTTATAGAGAGCTTGCAACATGAAATTGAAATGCAATGAAAGTAAATTGATCATTGATTGCTTGAAAGTTAGAAATTATAATTGATGAAAGTAGGAAATTACAATGGTTAGTGCAGGAGGTGAACACTAGAAAGCTTGAAAGATTGTTTGAAAGACTAATACCCCCTATAATAGCATTCTGAACAAAAACCTATGTGATAGGAGTAGACGTTTAAATGCCGAGAAATCATACTAAACGTTTTCCAATATCACATCTATTTTACAATTGAAATAAAATATTTACAATGTGCGTTCGAAATTGGGCAAACTGCGACTGCGATTGGGTCAATGAGCTAGTTGAAGTTGCGGTCCTTGACACTTGGGCAAGTTCATATTTATGCTTACAACGATTGTATATGGCCATGTTTGGTTTAGCTATGAAAATGAATTAAAATTGAAGTCGAAGTCAACAATCAATTTTAATTACACATTTCATAAGATCCAAAATTTTTCAACCACACATTGAATCAATTTCTATTAAAATCTATTGAAATTTGTTTTTTTAATCAAAACCAAACAGGGGGTTTTGACCTGCATTATACTTTATATTCATTACAATCTAACGTGCCACCTGCATAGTGGTTTATATTATTAAAAAAATACTTGGTTACCAGAAAATAAATGATATTTTAACAATTTTTTGTCTTCTAGTGTTATCCTTTGATGCCTTCGTTACAGCTGAATCCAATTGTTTTCTTAATTCAATATATGTTTCCCTGATAATTCTATCCGTTTCATATGCTGTTTTCCCATCACAAGTGATTGGATTTCAGACTCAAATTTTCTTTGAGATTTCGCTTATTAAAGTTACCATCATATCTTAATATTCCACATCTATCATCATCTTCAATCTCTTTCGATCCATGGAAAATCCATTTCTCTATTTTTCAGCAATTATGTTATTCTTGGTTCTGTATATCACAACCCAACATTTGCTTTACAAACTTCAGAATCTTCCTCCCAGCCCTTTTCCAGCACTACCATTTATCGGCCATCTTTACCTATTGAAGAAACCTTTTCATTGGGCCCTGTCTACGATTTCTAAGCGGTATGGACCAGTGCTATTCCTACAGTTAGGCTCCAGGCAAGTCCTGCTAGTTTCATCTCCATTAGTTGCTGAAGAATGTCTTACAAAGAAAGATGTTATCTTCGCGAATCGCCCTTCTCTCCTGAGTGGAAAATACTTCGGGTATAATTATACTAGCCTCGCTTGGTCACCGTATGGAAATCACTGGAGAAACCTTCGCAGAATCTCATCTATAGAACTCCTGTCATCTCACCAAGTGCAAATGCTTTCTCACATACAACGTGCTGAGATTTTAGCCCTGGTTAGAAAACTCTTCCATGATACCAAAGATTTCCCCAACAAAAGTGTGCACGTAAAATCAACTTTGTCTGAATTTTCATTCAATGTCATAACGAGGATGATTAATGGGAAAAAATATAGTGGAAAGACAGCAGAGGGCTCAAAAGAAGCTAAGATTTTTCAGGAGATCTTAACTGAGACAGCTCTGGTAGCTCCTGAGGCAAATGTTCTTGATTTTTTACCCTTCATGCGATGGTTCGGATTTAAAAATACAGAAAAGAAGATGATATCAATACAGGAGAAGAGGGACAAGTTTATGCAAAGCGTAATCGAAGAGCAACGTTCTTCTTTTGTTGATTCTGCAGTAAAGAATAAAACCATGATTGAAGTCTTACTGGATTTGCAAAAAGCAGAACCAGAAAATTATACTGACGAAACTATCAGAAACCTCCTTCTGGTAAGCTATTCTAAGACAATGCCACATTATTTTATAGCACAACTGCACAAGAACAATATTTATTTTCTTGTTTCAAAAGAAAAATCTTTTTATAATTATATAAGGGGAATCTTTGTTTGTTCATGCCTGTCATTCTTTATTTTACAGCTGTTGTCCTTGAATATTTATAGATAAAACGGGCTCTCCAACCATGATAGGATAGATATTTTATTATTTTTCTCTAATTTCATTATTTCTATGTCTTCTAGTTTTAGATTTGAAAAATGATTTGAAAGCTACAGTTTTGCAAGATTTTTATGAACTTGTAGTTTGAAAACAATGATATAATTAATTCTCGTATATAAAGTTTCAAACATTTAATCATTGTCACACTTGAACTCCAAACTTTTTTAGATTTTTTATTATAATCAATGTCTTTTGGGAGATTCATAATTTAAATAAGAAAAAATAACAAATACAAAAGTGTGAAAAATATTTGCCTCTCATTTCAAGCATGATAACATAAATCTTATCAGAGACTAGATGTACTAATTAATGAAAGATTGAGAATCAGAATGAACAAAAAATATGGGAATATAAGTGCGACAACGAATAATGGTTGAAGATCTTTAATACAAGTAAAAAGTGGGGCAACAAAAGAAAAAAATGGTGTCATCTGGGGGTCAAAACTATTGGTAGTCATGAACTTTATCCTAAGATCTCGGTTACCAAACATTTTTTGTTCCAAATTAGTATTTCTATGTCTATTAGAGAAGAAGAAGAAGGCCAGTAAGAATGGTTCTGGAAAGTTCCTACCGAAGAAGGAAGACCCAGAATGCCCATTTGATTCTCGCCAGAAAATAATTGGAGTAGATTGGGTGAAGGGACATTTTGAGAGAGATTTTTTTTTTTTTTTTTTTAAGAAAATGCAAAGAATGCAAACGTAGGAAAATGTGAAGAAGATAGCCTTCATAGGTTGAATAAAGCTATGTGTACACAATTTTTTACACAATATTTTACACTCCCCTCACATGGAGGGGGGCCCACACATAATAAAATAATCATGGGCCTCCCTCCATATGAGAGGGGTGTAAAACATTATGTAAAAAATTGTGTGTACACGTAGCACCACTCTCATAGGTTTCTGAATGGGTAAACCTCAACTGTTAGATCTCAAGGAGAGAGAAGAATCTACATCCCTGAGGCAAATTGAGCATCTAAATCTTTCAAGTACTATCCTTGATGTGGCAATTTGGGCTTTTGTAGGCTAAAGGAAAATACAAAAATTATTAAAATGGAGGGCCCAGACATGCAAATCGCTTCACGGGCATGAGGCACAAGGTTGTCGGCTATAGAAATATTATCAACAAATTCTCTAACCTAATCAAGATTTTCACATTCTAAACTCACTAGGTTCAATGCTCAAATTTAGAGTAAGAAAAGAAATGACTATTTGAGAGGAAGATATTTGAATTATATATATTTCTCTTCAAAATTGGGGGTATTTATAGATTTTCACTCATGTTCTCTTGTCCACAATAAAAAAAATATTATCTTACCAACTTTAAAGAGAACTTTACAGTTCTCACATTTGGAGAAAAATGTAAATAAAGTTCTCTTGTCACATCAGTAAGTGGACGGTCTTATCATTTCCACTATGGGCAGGAGAACAATTTCTTTATAGATTTTCCTCTGAGTTTTGGGCTAATTCAGTCATTTACAAAAAACGACAGATGGCTTACCTCTTATTGGCTAGCTTTGTAACTGATTCTGTTAAACGTATCACATTTTATTTATTGGCCCATGTATATTTTATTAAAAGTCTGTGGGGGAAGGTTCGCCTATTTTGGCTGAACCTTTCACTCCTTGTTTGCTCGTGTACTGTCTTGTGCTTCACTATCAGTTGGCAAGTTTCGCGAATTATATTTCAAGGTCCAACACATAGTCTTCAAAGTCCAATTTGATTATTTATATTAAATTTAGGACTTTAATTTTATGGAGTTATGAGTTGTGAATTTATGGATGGTTTTTGCCTGAATATAATTGTCCCTATTTTTTTGGGATGACATAGGAGACGTGTAGAGAATCAATCTTGCTTTGTGTGCACTTATAGGCTTGTTTTAGTTTTTCTAGGTTACTAATTCATATATATATGTTTTTGATGTGCGTAAGGGTTATGCGTAATTTGTCTCGTTTAATTCAAGATTTGATTGGTCATTCGTTCATTTGTAATGGTTATGATTGTCGCTAACATGATTCGAAGGTTAGTATCTCTCCTCAGAATCTATAAATATGTCATTATTTCTGTTGACATTCTTTACTTTGTTGAGCTTCCTATTTTATATCTTTCCTTAAAATTTTTGTCTAAGTACGTGATTTCTTCTCATTTTTCTTTTGAGTTTTCTGTGCAATATCTTCCCAAACTAATTTTTAGAATGCATCCAGTGATTCAGAATTTGAGAGCTATAATCTTAGGGATTATAGTTAGCACTTCTTTCTCCTCTGTAGAAGTTTTATACGTCGACGCGATTCTTTATAAGGCTGTTACTCATTCTAGTATGTGCTTTAACCCTAAACTTTTTGGCCAAGCAAGTAGATTTCGGCCCAAGGTTGGGGTACACAATGAGGTAGGCAAACCTTCGAGTGAGCCGGTTGACCTTGGTGATAGCGATGATGAAACTTTTGAGGCTTCGGGTACTTTTACTAGTCTTTTGAATAGGATTCAGTCGAGATTAAAGTTCAATTAACGTTACTGACGATATAGAGTTGCCATGTCCTAAACAGTTTCAAATGACATATCGCCCACCTCCAAATTGCATAGGTATTTTTAAACATTCAATGGATATATGACTTAAAGACCCCTTTCATCAATCTTTAGAGATTTTATTTCCACTTTAACTATTGTTGTTTCCCAACTTTCTTCAAATGGGTAGGCTCAATTGGTTGGGTATTTTTTTGTTATGGGGATCCACGCGTTTAGAAGGAGTGTTTTCACTGGATATATTATGTTCTATTTATCGCCCCATGCCAATGGAAAGTCCCACAAACCCTCAAAAGGGGTTTTTTTTTTTTTTTTTCCCTCATTTCCATAGGACCTGCTCAGAACTTGTAATTACTCATAATCACGTCCATGACTGGAAAAGGAGTTTTTTTTCGTTCGAGGCAACTGGGGATTTCAACCTAATGATCCCAACCCTTCGATTGTTATGCCTCGAACTATAGTGAGTTCAATGAGAGTTAATTTGTTACTTGTCTTTCTATTTAAAATTTTTATGCTTTTACTTTGGTGTTAACCACCCATTTTGCTTCACAATCGAGCTCTTAGTGATCTCCGCACCGTAATAGATCCTATCATTAACTTGTCTCCTGAGGTTCGTGAAGACGAAAGACTGCTTCATCCTTTTAACTCATATTTTTACAACACTGGTGTCTAGAGTAGCAACAGTGACTTTGCACAACAAATTCTTTTATTTCTAATTTTTAGAAGTCTTATTTTTTTCCCTATTGCCTAACGTTTCCTATTCTTTTCAGTGCAAATAGATTTGATGTGAACCCTGAAGCACCATCATGCTCTGCTCACCCATATGACTCAACCTTATAGCCACAAGATCGTACTGTCTAATTCAGACTTTACAGTAGGTTTCCCACCAACAATCCTAGTGCCCAGCAATATATAAATATTACAAAATAGTTTATTCCTTTCATCACTACAATAGATTACCTCCATCCGTCCATCTTCGGATCTATTGCCATAGCCATAGGAATTTAAGGAGCCCAAAGAAATCAGATTCTTTCTCATCTCTGGTATTTGTCTAACATCATTTAATGTTCTAACAACACCATCAAATATTTTAACTTTGATAGTTCCTATTCTAACTACTCTACAGGATGCGACATTACCTATAAGAACTAAGCTAGAATTAGCCAATTCTAGGTATCTAACCAACCCTTGTGAGGGGTCATGTGATACGAACACGCCAAGTCATGTTTCATGAATCCCCAAGTGATCTTTACTATGTGAAGTAGATAGTATATCACAATCTCCATAATTTGAATCGTCCTCTACCACATTATCCGATCTAGAACCATTCTTGTCTTCATAATTTGCCTTCTGCCTTTCAGGACATTCCCTTTTAATGTGACCTTTCTTACCACACCTAGAATATTGCGCACATTTCTTCTTTCCCGACTTAGACCAAAAATCCTTGTTGTTCCCTCCATTCCTCAATTTGTTTCTTCCATGTTTCTAACTACCTTTGACCATAAGCCCTTCTCCTTCAAAGTCCTATTAGCTGCTCTTCTTCTTTAGATTGAAGGTCAACAAACCCCTGTGATCTCCTACAACCGCATAGAATCATTTTCCCTCGTTAGAGTTGTAGACATATTTTCTATGAAGCTGGTAAAGAATTCAACAGCATCAACGCCTTGTCCTCATCTTCGAATTTCACATCTGCATGTTACAGATGGTTTGATTGAACATATTTATGTGTCTCTCAGATCTGAATCATTTTCCATCTTAAGCCCGTATCACTTTTTCTTGAGATACAACTTGTTCGTCGACGACTTTGACATGCAATGCTCTCTATTTTCAACAAAACTGCCACAGGTGATTCCTCATCTGTAACGTGAACCATCACCTGATCTACAAAACAAAGTCGAATGGTAGATATAGTCGTCACCACCAACTCGCTCAATTATCCATGGACATTTCTTCTAGCTTCGTCCCAGTGCCTTTACCATTCCGTGCTGCACTAACAAGACCTTTACCCTCTTCTACCTTGCTTTAAAATTTACTGATTCAAATAATATCATGACATTGAATTTCACACAAGATGAAACAATGCGGTTGTGCAAACATAAATAATAAGATTGAAAAGAAGAATAATAAGATTGACACGCAATAATTTAAGTTGTTCGGTAATGTGCCTATGTCCACTATATGATGCAAATAAATATATTAACTTCGAATATGGTTACAATAGGTTGTTTATATAGAGCCCTAACCCCTATTGGCCGTCCCTCAACTCCATCAACTAGCCCCTAATATAAAAACATATGAGTCACCTTATCAACAGAAACCATTCAAAGGCTGCAAGGTTGAGAGTTCAAAACTGCCAAAAAAAGGATGGGGTAGGTCTACTAATTTTGGAAAGGATGGAGACTACCTTATTTCAATTACATAGTACATTACCTTGACAAACAAAAATAAATGAAAATGAAAAAAACATATATATTGCTACAAGTGAACATTATTGTTATTATACAGAAATCAACTTCTAATAACATCCATGTAAATTTTGCAAAATTTCCTTAATCCATAAATTTTGTTTATGTTAATAAGTTCTAGACCGTACCTTATTGTATATTTTGATTCACGTTCTTTAAGTTTCTTTTTACATATCTTAATGAACACCATAAAGTGCAGAATATGTTTCCAAAGAGATTCATTTAGCTTAATAAATTCAAGAAAATGTTGCTATATGAACAGGTTTTGATCCAAGCAGGAAGTGAGACTTCAGGAGACACAATAGAGTGGGCATTTTCCTTATTGCTTGACAATCCAAATGTTCTCAAAAGAGCACAAGCTGAAATCGACAATCTCGTAGGAAAGCAACGTATGGTTGATGAAAACGATCTGGCGGGGCTTCACTATCTCCGTCACATTGTCAAAGAAACTCTTAGAATGCATCCCCCTGCACCTCTACTAATGCCTCACCTATCATCAGAAGATTGTACAGTGGGTAGCTATCACATCCCTAGAGGAACGATACTCTTGGTAAATGTATGGGATATTCATCACAATTCTGAAATATGGGAGGAGCCTGAAAAGTTTAAGCCTGAAAGATTTGAAGATTTTGAAGTAGGTAAAAATGAGTTCAAATTTCTTCCTTTTGGATCAGGGAGGAGGGCATGTCCAGGTGAGAATTTGGCAATGCGTCTGGTAGGGCTGGCCTTGGGATCCCTAATACAGTGTTTTGACTGGAACAAGATTAGTGAGATTGTTGACATGGCTGAAGGGACTGGAATTATGGCAAAAAAGATCGAACCCTTGATGGCTAAGTGCAATCATCGTTCATTTGTTGGAGACCTTCTCTCTATAGGTTGACTTTGTTGGCATTCTTTGCGAGAGGGTTGTCGAAGATCCTTTATCTTTGTAACTAAGCAAGATATGAGACTTGTAATAACGAAGGAAAGTCTGCACACTCATAATTTCTACGAGTAAAAGTGAGGGCAACCTTTTCTTAATATTTTTATACAAGTTGATATGGTTATACATGGTTTTATTGTTCCAGGGCACCACATGGCGTTCCCTATAGGACGGGGCCGCAGCTTGCAGCCAGGGCCGGTCCTGTGAATTTCGGTGAGTGTTTTGTTTAGGTTAGAATTGGGCCAACTGTATTTGGGCCTTGTGTGATATAAAAATAAAAAAAAATTGGGCCAAAAAATAGGCGCCCCTCCACGTTTGGGCCTGAGGCGGCGGCCTCACTTGCCTCGCCTCAGGGCCGGGCCTGCTTGCAGCCCCCCAACCCCCCCCCCCCTATTGGGGGCATCATATGGCGCCCCTAGTAGTACAAGGTTGGACAATCAGCTTTGTTATTTTTTAGGCAAATTCTATTTGTACAATCGAGGTTGACAACATCTCACATGTGTGCAGATCCGCATGTTAAAAAAATTCCAAAAAAAAAAAAAAAGTGGACCCCTCATGTGAGTGATTGTCAACTTTGATCGTACAACTAGCATGACTCTATTTTTTATATGTACTTTTGGCTTCTACTTTTCTTTTCTTAAGACTACTCATATAGCCTTGTTCATGACTTACCCTATGAAATGTGCTCACTTTAGTTTCAAATCATTTTGGGTAGACAATCTTTTTGGTTTTTTTTTTTTTTTTTAAGCTGTAAAGTAATATATTTTCTCTCATTAATGTGGTTTGGCCAAAATAAATCTTCAGCATTTGTTCTACGAGTTAAAGCCATGTTTGACACTCACTTTGTTTGAAAAATAATTTTTAGGATAGTGATTGATGGAAGATTGTGTGGTTAAAAATAAGAAGAATTTTTGGGTTTATGTGTAATATTATTTTCTTAATTGAATGTGTGGTTGAAATGAAGAATGAGAAAAAAATGGGTGTCAAACATGAGCTAAATCTATCAATGACCACCAAACTTTATACTTAGTGTCACCATAGTCATCAAATTTGATTTTGTTTTATCATTGTCAACTTTATATTTAATGTCATTATAGTCATCAAATTTGATTTTATTTCACAATGGCTATCCAATATCATATAACGTTTCCCGTGATCACCTAACTTCTTTTCACTCTTTTAGCTAATTTTAAAATGGGTACAATGGTAACTTTGTATTATATATTTAATTTTTTTTAATCCAATTTGATTTTACTTCACAATGACTATCCAATATCATATAACGTTTTCCATGATCACCTAACTTCTTTTCACTCTTTGAACTAATTTTAAAATGGGTAAAATGGTAACTTTGCATTATATATATATATATAATTTTTTTTAAAAAAATAAAAGTTTTTTTTTTTATTTTAAAAACGTTTTTATTTTATTTTAAACACATTTTTTAAATAATTTTTTATTTTTTATTTTTTTTTTTAAGGAACTTTTTTTTAAAATAACTTTTTTATTTTATTTTACTTTTCTAAGTAAAGTTTTTTTAATAAGTTTTTTTTTTATTTTTTTAAATTTTATTTTATATATATAATGTAAAGTTACCGTTTTACCCTTTTTAAACTTAGTGAAAGGAATTTGGGAAGCCATGGTGAAATTTTATATGACATTGGATGGTCATGGTAAAATAAAATAAAATTGGTTAACCATAGTGACATTAAGTATAAAGTTTGGTGACCATGGTTATTGGATAGTCATAGTGACACTAATTATAAAATTGAGTTGCCATTGATGAATTTAACTCGTTCTTCATCATTCAAGTTTTCTTACTATTAATTAATTTAGGAAAGAGTTAATTGAGTGGAAGATATTATACAATAAACAGCAAGAGGAGTCCTTATATGAAGAAAGTGTTAGAATTATAATTAATTACTCAAAAATATAAACACGAATTATCCACAAATAATGAGTCAAAATCGTAAATCTATTTTCTAATTGTAGCATATGTAAAGATTTAACTGTTATATCTTTCCAATCTTTGTGCAAACGATCATAATAGCATAAAGATTTCAAAATAAAAGAAAAACATGTTAGACAATGAGGATGATAATCTCCCCCCGTTAGTGTTTTAATATATAGAAAATTGGGGTATTCTATTTTATAATTATCAATATTTTGAAAATCGACTTGGTTATCGATTCGAAAATGTTAAATGGTCGAACCGAGGTCGACCTGGAGTTAAAATAATAAATAGATTAATATATTATATTAAAAAAATCTATTGATTTAAATAGCATTTTAAAATTCATATTTAACATTTTATTAATGTATGGACCAATTTAACATTGAGTGGTGAAATAAATGGGCCAAAACATAATATAGCCCATTAACCAAACCCTAAAATGAATTTGCCAACAAAAGTTCCAGAATCAATTAATTCTCGTCTGTAATTGCCTCGTCTTCTACTTCTCTTCTCTGTCACACATACAAATATATGTGTTTGCATATATCTATTTAAATACTTGTATTGTTTAAGTTTGTTCTGAATTTGGTTTTGGATGTTTTGATTGAAATCTTGTACAAGGGCCTCAGCAAAGAGACATTAGAGCTCTAGTGGCTATTAGGTGGCGAGAAATGGCAGTAAAGCATTCTTTTCTTCATACTATAATTTTTTTTTTAAAAAAAAATAATTATTTGTGAAACCCGAAGAAATCGTGACCGGTACACCAATTTTTGGATGAACTAGACGATTTTCGGGATTTCATACCGATTTCTTTCCAATTTTCATGCTATGATCGGATCGGATTTCTTTCTGGTTCCCGATTTTTTTGTTTGAACACAACTGTCAGATTCGAGTTTGAAAACACTAATATTTATAACATATTTACCAAGCCCTAAGCCTATTAGGATAGATTCCACAATAGTAGAGTTATTATGAAAGTTGCCTCAAACGCTATCTTTTAGCTTCCCATTTCAATAATCAGATGCAAAGATTTTTTCTTTCAAAACTCATGTGCACCTTACCCGACACCACTACTCATATGATCTGGGACAGACAATCACTTGGTCGGGTCACAAGAGTCAAGGGTTCAAGCAATGGTGTTTAGATGGGCGAAGTTGACAAGCCAAGGATTAAGTTTCGTAAAGGGCTCGGGAGCCGAAACGAGTTGGATTCAAGGTTTGAAAGATATTTGGAAAGAAAACAAGTGGCGTGAATTAAAATGGGCATAACTCTCAGCTTGGGTGTTGGATTTTTGCCCATGAGTACATTCCAAAATCGTCACGAAATTCTGCACAAGGATATGTTAGCGCATGGTACTTTTGGGCTTGCAGTCGCACCGAAACATGCCGAGAACAAGTTGGCGGGATTTTTCTATTTTCGCGAGATTTATTTGTTAGTCTGGAATTCTATTTTATTTCCAACTTTGACAATATTCTATGACCTGATTACGTTTTATTAGGGATACTAGTATTAGTATAAATAGGAGATTTATTTCATTATAAAAGCAAGAGTTTTATTATTTTGAGAGATTCAATACAATTTGTGAGTTTTTTTCCTCCATTTTCTTGGTGGCTTAGACTTATAATCTTGAACTTATCAAAAGGTTTCACAGTTCTTTTGTGGTGTTCCCACTTCACAGTTCTTGTTTCGGGTAATTAACGGGTCGAATTTCCTACGCTAATCTCGGTTCTTGATACAGGTGGAACAACGGGTCGGGTTAATCTTTGCGCGACATGATTTCTAGCTTTCTTGGGTTGGTTTCATCTTATTTGTGGGTTCCCAAAATCAATTCTTGGTTGGGTTACATCAGTTGATATCAGAGCTTGGTTCTAGATTTCAGGTCATCTATCATTTACTTTCTGTCAATTATTCTTATTGTTTGAATTTTTTTAAAAAAAATTACTGTTCACGTGAAAAAAAATTCAACTTTTATTGTTCTTGTTTGAATCATTCTTTCCAATGTAATTTTTTTTGTTTAATTTCGCCTCTAGATTATTTTTAGTTGTTTATTGAGAAAAAAAACAAAAAAAAAAGTTATTGTTCACATCTACTGTTCACGTGAAAAAAAAAAAAAAACTCCACACTTCGTAAACGTCTAGAGGTAACGCAAAGAAAAAACAATATAAATTCAAGTCATTTTGTTTTCTTTTCTTGCATTTGAGTCTATTACCTGAGTCTGTGCCAAAAATTCTATTGATTATTCGAGACTTGTACTTGTGGTGGTAATCGTTGCGGGATTGAGTCCTATTTGATTGAAATCGGTTATTTCTCGAGCCATTGAGAAAGAAGGACGAGCAGTAAAAGACAAAGTGATGAGCTCATTATCGGGTAAAAGCCAATCTTGAGTGATACACGAGTGTAAACACATGGGGTAAATTGTTTCGTTCTTTTTATTATTTCTTTTCATTTAAATTCTTGTTGTTTACTTAATTGCAAAAGGGAAATGTGAGTAAAGGCAAAGAAGAAGAGGTACCTAAGGGGTTTTATGCGGAGTTTATGGATAGTATACATGCTATACATAGTAGGTTTGATCAATTGGGTTTGGCGGTTGAACGTATTAGTGGTATGTAGCTAGGCATGAAACTTTGATTGGGAGTTAGCAGCGAGAGATACCCCAAAGGGTTCCTCGTGGGAATAGAGGAGATAGGCGAAGACGAAATCTTATGGCTGAATTTAATGGGGAAGATGAGGTGGTGAGTGTAGGAAGTGATGATTATTATTTTGAAGCTAATATGGGACGAATGAGGACTAGATGAGGTAGATTTGATCGAGGGGTTGATGGAAATTTGGGAAGCATTAAACTGAACATTCCAGCTTTTCAAGGTCGGAGTGACCCTGAAACTTACTTAGAATGGGAAAAGAAGGTGGAATTGGTATTTGATTTCCATATTTACTCGGAGGAGAAGAAATTGAAGTTAGCGGTAGTGGAATTCACTGATTATGCAATAATTTGATGGGAACGGTTGGTGACTAGCCGTAGGAGGAATTTGGATAGGCCAATTGAGACCTGGGAAGAGTTGAAGGCTTGCATGAGAAAATGGTTTGTACCTGGACATTATTATCGGGATCTTCATCATAAATTACACACACTTTCTTAGAGATCTAGGAGTGTGGAGGATTACTATAAGGAGATGGAGGTGGCGATGATTATAGCGAACATAGAGGAGGATCGAGAGGCCACCATTGCTAGGTTTCTGAATGGGTTGAATAGGGA